TGGCCTCTGGATTGAGGTGGCCCAAGTTCTTAAATGCTGTGCTGTAACATCTGTTAACATCAGGTTATTAAGACACCAGTGACAGAGCCATGTGTGATGGTGAATGCCTGTAATCCCAGCACTTGGAAGGCAGGGGCAAGAGGTAAAAGACTTCAAAGCCACCCTTAGCTGCACAGCGAGTTCAAGCCTGGCCTGGACCACACTAAGCTTGCCTCACACAGCAACAACAAAATGTTAGTGATTCCCGTAGAAGACATCAGTTCATAGTGATTTATGAATTTTCTAGCCCATCTTCAATTTAGCTGGACAACTGTGAGTCTCACATATCGTGTCCATCTGTTCACACATCAGTTCCCTGCATCTCAGTTCAGACTCCTGTGCCGACGGTGGGAACTTGATGCTAATTTACTCATGGATCCGGGGTAGACGGTAACCTTGATACAGAGATAGGAACCCTGCTTAGAATTAGGCGAGCAGTAGAGTAGATGATACGGGTCTTGCCTGCCTCTGCCTCTGTCCCATAGGATTGTGGGTGATTTCAGCTCCTGGAGTGAAGCTCAGGGCTTGTGGGCAGAATGTCCTTGATCCAGAGTTGAGTAGCTGCCTTTCTTTAGGTGGTTAAGCCCTACAGAGCTGTGGTTGGCACTCTTGAGAGTTGGAGCCTACACCAGACCACCATCACCTTCCCCTCCAGACAAGATGGGGAGGGGTGCTCTAAGGTGCTGTCCTCTGGACATGGCATGGCTGCTGCACACATGACCCCACTGAAGCTATGGTTCCCTACACAAGACTGCACAAAATTAAGCATGGAGGACCAGGTGTGGTAGACACACTTTTAATCCCAGCACTGGGAGGCAGAGGAAGTGCAAGGGCAGCCTTGTCTATACAGGGAATTCCTGGACATCCTGGGCTACACAGAGACCCCCCTCTGTGTCTCTGTCTCTCAGTCTCTCTCTGTGTCTCTGTCTCTCAGTCTCTCTCTGTGTCTCTGTCTCTCAGTCTCTCTCTGTGTCTCTGTCTCTCAGTCTCTCTCTGTGTCTCTGTCTCTGTCTTTCTCTCTCTCAGATTAGGCAGATAGATGGAAGCCTAGAGAGAAAATTGCATTATTGCGTGTAATGATCACCATGTGAGAGAGAACTGGTTCTTGAATGTTCTTGCTGTCGCTTTCTGTCTGGCAGCTGGAAAACACAAATCCCAGGAAGCTGAGTTCGAGGCTAGCCTGGGCTACCCAAGGCCTGTCTCCAACAATAAGCTGCATTAATTAGAACATACAATTAAACAGCTAGAGAAAGTTTTAGAGGGCATCCACTCCCTCCAAAAGCCACCACTCACTCATGTGGTGGCAGTAAGTGGTTCCTGTGACATCCTTTCCTCAATCCGAGAGATGCCCCTCCCAGCAGTATGTGGCCTGTGCTTTAAAGTCTGGTCTCCACCTCAGTTATTAGCCATGGGCCGTGTGAACTTTCTCTCCTCTCTGGGTGCCCCGTCACCCCCATCTCCTGTAGCACACTATGACAGCTTGTCTGTGAGCATAGACGCCAAGAGCAGTAATTATGGATTTCCCTCTAAGGAGTCAGGACAAAAGTCACAGGAGAGCCAGCTGAATTTATAGCTTGGGTAGCAAGGAATAGTGTTTGCTTTAAAGGCTAGCTTACGCTGTAGCCAATGCCGAGAAGTGGGGGGAGGGGAACGGTGGTCTGGATGCTAGGGCCCCAGTGAGGACAGCATAGCAGCAAATAGGGGAATAGCTTTCTGGGTGTGAGCAAATAAAATCTACAAGTAGAGATGGCTGCACGTGTTTAGATCTTCCACATTGTCTCAACCCAAACCTGGAAGCGGGCCCAGGGTACAGCCCCGGGACTTACTGGATTCGATGGGCTAGGCTTCAGGTCAGCCACCTTGAGGGGGACCTCCCCCCAAATCATAGGCTTCATAAGGCTTCACAGTAAACACTGGGGACCAGCTGTCCTCAGGTTGGTGTGTGGGCCCTAGCTTTGGTCCGGCCTCCTGTGCTGTTGTTCCTAGCCGTGGCTTCCCCCTCATGGTCTCCGCTAATATTGGGGTGCTGGTTCTCACACAGTACCCCAGAGGCCCCTATAACTCTGCAACTCAGTCTTCTTGGCTAGACCTCAGTGCAGCATCTTATAAAAGACAGTGAGAACATCATCTTTGAGCTGAATGGTGGCGTGCACAGGTGAAATAAAACCGCAGATGATTTGGGAGAAGAGAAAAATCCCCACAACCAAGAAAATGGCCACAGAAGCCTCATCCGGGGATGTTTGTCCCTGAGGCATTACTGAGTTCTTGAGGTGTTCAGGCCCTGCCTGAAGCCCTGCTGTGGGGAAAAGGTTGACAGAGTTCCTTTCCCATGGAACTTAGAGTCTAGCAGGAGCTGAGACAGGTGATAGACAGTTGACAGCCCGCCATCTATACACGAGTCTTCAGATGTAGCTTTGCATAATTAATGCCAGGAGCTGCCAGTGCCACACACGGCCGTGTGAAGCCCACGAATGCATTGACAGCCCGCCTTGCTCATCTTTGATGTAAATTCCATTCTTCAAATGTCCCTTGATAGGGCTAGCGGCTCACACCTCTAATCCCAGCACTCCAAGGCAGAAGCAAAAGCATTGCTGTGATGTAGAGGTCAGCCTGGATTGCGTAGTGAGTTCTAGGCCAGTCTGGGTTACAGCGTGAGACCCTGTCTCAAGGAAACTGAATGAACAGAACCACCTTTGAATACTGTCCCACGGCCGAGAGAGGAGGAGGGTGGGAAGAGGGACCGTAAAGGTCCACCCTGAAATCCACCCACATGTCATTAGCACAGCTAACCCTGAACCTGGTTTTGCTTTGCTTGGTGGGGCACTGTTTGGGGGAATCTGTCTTTCCTTGTTAAGCAGTGTGTAAGGAACAATTCTGTGGGTTTTTTTCTTTTTCTTTATTTCTTTTCTTCTTTCTTTCTTTCTTTCTTTCTTTCTTTCTTTTTTTTTTTTTTTTTGAGGCATCTGGAGAGCAAGTTGGGGAACTTGGGAAAGCCCAGGGACCTGCCTTTCCTTCCTTCCTATAGAACCTTCAGGGAGTGGTCTCCAACTCAGGAGGGATCACATTTAGCATGCTTGCATAATTGGGAGTGAAGCTAAATGCAACTTGTCACCATTGTCACCACCTTGAAACGCCATTGCTATGAAATGCTCTCAAGCTGTTTGGGGTGAAGAACCAGTTTTTCACTGAACAGCAGTAAAAGGTTCTTCGAGCTGGGTGTCTCAGCTAAGGTTTCTGCCACTGCGATGAAACACCGTGTCTAAGATAACTTGAGTAGGAAAGGGTTTGTTACAGCTCACGCTTCTAGGTGACAGTCCCTCACTGAGGGAAGTCAGGACAGGAACTCAAACAGGGCAGGGGCCTGGAGGCGGGAGCTGATTCGGAGGCCATGGAGGGTGCTGCTACTGGCTTACTCCTCATGGCTTGCTCAGCCTGCTTTCTTATAAAACCCAGGACACCTGCCCAGAGGTGGCACCACCCAGAGCAGCCTAATCACATCAGTCACTAATTAAGGAAATGCCCTGCAGGCTTGCCTGTAGCCCAGTCTCATGAGGCATATATTTTTTCAGTTGCAGTTCCCTCCTCTCATGACTATGGCTTGTGTCAAGCTGTTTAAAAAAAATAAAGGTAGCCAGCACACTGTACACATATACCTGTAACCCCAGCACTTGAGAGGCTGAGGCAGGGTTATTAATTCTTCCTTAGCCAAGGCTATTTGAGACAGCAAGACCCTGTGTCAAAAAAAGGGGGGTTGGGAACTGGGGAGATGACTTAGTGGGTAAAGCTCTTGTCACACAGGCATGGGGACCAGAGTTTGAATCAGAGTTTGAGTCAGAATTCCACAAAAACAGGTTGGGCATGGTGACCAGTAGGGAAGGGAAAGTCTGGGAATTCCTAGAGCCAGCTGTCTAGCCAGACGAGCCAAAATAGTCAAAATAGTGAACTCTGGGTTTAGCCAGAGACCCTGCCTCAATATATAATAAGATGGAGTCCAGTCAAGGAAGATGCCCAATGTCAGCCTCAGGAAACATGTGCATCCATCCACATGCAGACTCAAGCATTCATACACACAACATAAGCAAAGGAAACCACAGGCACATGTATGCGTCCATCCACATGCAGACCCAAACTCTCAGATACACGCAACATAAGCAAAAGAGTTATCTGTAACTCGAGGGCTGGGTAGATGGCTCAGCTGTTGCGAGTACCCAGCCCCTTCATGGTGGCTCGTAACCATCCGTAACTCCAGTTCCAGGGGATCTGATGCCCTCTTCCGGCCTGCAATCATTGTATATATGTGGTATGCAAAACACCCATACAAATAAAATGAAAATAAATAAAAGCTTTTGAGAAAGAAATCTTTAAAAAATTATTTAAAGGTTATGTATAACCCAGATGTCTATTATTAGATTTAAGGGTCATAAAACTGCTCCATCTGCTTAAACACTTTTATAAGCTAACCTAGTTCTTGACCTAGAGTTTGCCTATAGCAAAGAATAAAAATAAAAAAAAAAAAAAGAAAAGAAAACCCAGAGCCTTTGCTACCAGTCTCAAGGACTGTGCTTTGGGCTACACTGGCCCCGAGGCCCGGAGTCAAAGGCCACTGGGGAACTGCTGTCCTTCCCAGCTCCATGTTAGGGCAGTTATAAAAGAGAATGAGGAAGAGAGCAGCCCAGCTGTATTCCTGTGTCCCTCACACACCTCCTGCTCAGCTGGTCGCTTTGGGAATCCCTTTCCCTGCCGGAGCTCCATGCACAGGTGAAGATTTTATTCTGTGCCTGCAGCTGGGGAAGCGAAAGGTCCTGACTAATTGGAATCCGTCTCCTGTTCCCTTCTTGAATGCAGCTTTGGGTCTGCACTGGCTCCCAAAGCAGAGGCCCAGCGAGGTGGTGGTCATCTCTGGCTGGCATGGCCTGGTCTGGCCCGGGAAAGGTGAGGTCACTGTGGACTCTGTGTTGCAGTTCTCCAAGGAGAGGCACATCATGGACCGGACCCCTGAGAGGCTGAAAAAGGAACTAGAAGAGGAGCTGCTGCTGAGCAGCGAGGACCTACGCAGCCATGCCTGGTACCACGGCCGCATCCCCCGGCAGGTATGTGTTCTGTTCCCCTCAGGCAGCGTCATACTGATGGCGCTGTTGGGTCCAGCTCAGAGATCGCAAAACTCTAGTACTATAAAGTGACTTAGACCTGCCTCTAAAGAGGCCTTGGCAAGAGCCAACGGTGGGACTCCCAATGCATGTGGGCAGGAGGCTGCAGCGGCAGTGCCAGCTGCTGGAAGCATGCAGAAGGATAGGGTTCAGATCATTAAGATCTTGGCCAGGGGCTAGCTCTTCCTACCACTTGGACCCTTTTTATTGAAGGCAGTGACTTATCTCAGATGACCAAGCAGGTAGGTAGCACAGACTGACAAAGCCACCCCTGCTCCAATTGGGCCAGCAAGTGTCTGTCTCTGTTTTTTCTCTACTGGATTCTATGGCCCAAGGATGGGGAGGATGAGGGATTATTCCAGGGACCACAGCTTCATGGACCAGGGTATCTTACATGTGGTTGTCATCAATGTTTTTATTAATAATATAATGAAAACAACAGTATAGTTAGTCTGCAGATTTGAAGTGTACAGTTACCCATAGATTTTTATTATAAACATAGTCTGGCCAGTCATTAACCAAGGACAACAGAACAGGCAATGAATGTCCAAGTCTAAGGAGAATGATGGAACCCGAGTGCTGGGATTAAAGGTGTGAACCACCCCTGCCCAGCTTAGTCTCAAATTTCTCAACACTATCAAAGAAATAAATCTTATTCTGATCTTGATTGTGTGTGTGTGTGTGTGTGTGTGTGTGTATGTGTGTGTGTGTGTGATCTTAAACTTGATTGTAGAGGGGGCTGGAGAGGTGGCTCAGTGGTTAAGAGCACTGACTGCTCTTCCAGAAGACCTGGGTTTAATTCCCAGCATCCACATGGCAACTCACAGCTGTCTGTGACTCCAGTTCCAGGGGACCCCACACGCAGGACAAAACACCAATGCACATAAAAGAAAAATAAATAAAAATTCTAAAAGTTGATTGTGTGAAATATAGATAAAAGAAAACTCTGCTCTTATCCCTAATTGTGTCCCCTGGAGATAGTCTTTGTGAATATTTTGGTGTATATCTCTCCAGACCTCCTCCATCAAGTAGGAGATCTTACTGTTTTCTGTGGCCCACTTTCTTCACTTAATGATGTGCCCTGGGAATTCGCTCCATCTGTAAGGTACCCTCCTGCACCAGCACACAGAGTATATGAGAGTATATGTCCATCACACACATGCATCACAATTTATTGGGTACTTAGAGTGTTCCTAGCAGTCTGACCAACATCCTGTAAGATAACTACCATGTTCAGACCTATAATTCTTTCTACTGGCTCGATTCTGGGAAATGGAATTTCTGTGTGAAGATGTATTTTTAAGGCAAAGATGCAATTTTAAAGTAACCATGGTAGCATACTATTCTGAGCTAGCAGAAGTATAGCATCACTTGGATGCTAGAATATCCTAGAAAAAAAAACTGCCATCACTGCTGTGTTTCTTAGTGTGCCAGGAGGGTAAACTCTCAGTAAGGTATCATCCTGGCCTGGGTGACTGAAACCCAGGGCAATGGTGACAGCTTGGCATCATTCTAAACCTTTGAAACTTTCAGCCACTCTATAAGCAGTAACATTATCTACATCTTATAGATGATGTAACTGAGCCACAAAGGACTTATAAGGGTAATTTGTCTAGTCACACATCTGGGGCAGAATGCAAACCTGGCCGAAATGACTGACACAGTGTAGGCCTTTGCCGTAAACATCACCATCGTAGTGGTCTCCTATTTGGGAGTATCCATTGTGTTCCAGGCATTATACTAGAGTTTTACATATGCAAATGTGTTATCTTCCAATAACCTTGTGAGATGAGGGAACCTCAGGTAGCTTTTTTTCTAGCCTCCCAGCATGTCCAGAACTCACCATGTCCTTCCTGGGCTCATCCTGCCTCGTAGATGGGAATCAAGGAGGATGTCTAGGCACCAAAACAGCTTCCTGCTCCCCTCCCTTCACTGGTTAGAAGGAAAGTCAGACCCACAGGGAATGTAGTCTCATTTCTTCTTGCCGTTTTACATTCTTCAAGTCTGTGTTAATGTCATGTTCTTGTGACATCTCCCTGACCACCGTCATTTGAGAGATAACCCTCCCAAGCCCACTGTCTCCCGTCCAAAGTTTTCTTCCCCTTCACAACATCTGATACACCCCTGTGACTGTCTGTCCTAAGATGAGAGTGGCTACACTAGACATAGGAAGCCCCTGAAGAGGTATTAGTCACTGCTGTGTCCCCTGAACCTGCAGTGACGCTGGGCATGTAGAGGATGGTCAGTAGACAGTTTGGTGTTTTGTTTCTAGAGAGGGCTGACCTCAAACGTATTATGTATCCCAGGCTGACCTCAGACTGACATCCTTGTTTTAGTTTCCTGAGCTCGGGGATTACAGTTGTGCATGGCTATACCTGGCTAGGGAATAGTTCTTGAGTGTGACCTTTAGCAAACTAAAGATCTGGCAACAGAAGGAGTGCTACGAGATGGAGCAGTTGGTAAAAAATGGCCGTCTCGTAAGCGTAAGGATCAGTCCCTGGAACCTACATAAGAAAAGAGGGTTTTACTGACAGAGAGAGGGAGGGGGAGACAGAGAGGGAGACGGGGGAGAGAGGGAGGGGGGTGGAAGAAGAAGTAGAAAGGAAAGGCAGGTGAAGTAGCATATGAAATAGGGAGGTAGATTCCTGGCTTGCTGGCCAGCTAGCCTAGTCTACTTGGAGAGTTCCAGGCCAGTGGGAGACCCTGTCTCAAAAAAAAAAAAGATGGATTGTACCTAAGGACTGACACCTAAGTTATCCTCTGGTCGCTGCACGGATGCACACGCATGTGCACACACAGAAAGTAGAGTTACAGCAGCAGCAGTGACTTCTGCTAAGCTCTTGGGAGGATACGTTTGCCTCTCTGGTTCCCTCATTCACCATTCTGCCTACAGGTATCTGAAAACCTCGTGCAGCGAGATGGTGACTTCCTGGTTCGCGACTCCCTGTCGAGCCCGGGAAACTTCGTCCTGACCTGTCAGTGGAAGAACCTCGCTCAGCACTTTAAGATCAACCGGACTGTTCTGCGGCTCAGCGAGGCCTACAGCCGCGTACAGTACCAGTTCGAGATGGAGAGCTTTGACTCCATCCCTGGTTTGGTGCGCTGCTACGTGGGCAACCGGCGGCCCATCTCCCAGCAGAGCGGTGCCATCATATTCCAGCCCGTCAACAGGACAGTGCCCCTCTGGTGTCTGGAGGAGCGTTACGGCACTTCACCGGGCTTCGGCCGGGAAGGCAGCTTTACCGACGGAAGGCCAGATATGGCTAAGAGGTTGAGCCTCACCACAGGTAGCATCCAGGCTCGGGAACACGGCTTGTCCCGGGGGAACCTCCTCAGGTAGGTCCCAGGGGTGCTGGGGGCCCGGCTTAGGCCAAGTGAGAATATTGCTACACTCATTGCGAGTGGACAGCTGTCACCGGGTGTGCACGAGTAGTTCCCAGTTAAAGTGCACCAAAAGCAAATGGCAGAGCCGGGTGTGCAATGCATGCCTCAGTGCTTTGAGGCTGAAGTGGGAGGTTTGCCCCAAGTTCAAGGCCTTCCTAGATTATAGAACGAGACCCCACTTCAAAACTGAAAGCAGTGGCAGAAGGCACAGGGGCTGAATGGGGAGCGGCTGATCTGAAGGCAAGGGGATGTTTGGGGGACACTGCAAAGAAGAGGGCCAGAGGTGCCTGGGGGGTCGATGGGGCAGCCTAGAACAGAGGGTCCGTGTGCGGGAGAGATGGGGTAGGGGGAAACCCTAGCTAATGGTGGAGGCCTCTGTGCCAGGCTCAGGGGTTACAAAAGCTCGGTATAGTGAACAAATCCTAAAGCAGAACTGGCATTGACGGAGGAGAGAGACTGAATGAAGCAAGAAAGCCAGGGTCTCAGGAGGCACCCAGGCTGAAAGCAAGAGAAAGATCTAGAAGCCAGGCTCCTGGGGTCTTTGGGGTTGGATAGAGACTGGGAAGACCACCGGTGACTATGGGGAGAGAGACAGCCAAGGAGGAAAAGGGCATTTGATCTGAGCAGCCACAGTGGACATGCTGCCGTCAGCATCCAGCAGGGGTCGCTGTTGAGAACTCGGACTAGGGACTGGTAGTGCGGAAAGGGATTGGCTTGGAGGGAACAGATCGGATTTGAAGGACTGGAGGTGTAGAGGGAGGAAACTGCTCTCTGTGTCCCTGGGAATGAAGAGAAACATTCCTGGGGCAGGAAAGGGCTGAGAGGCGAGCTCCACATTTGTACAGATCTGGCTTCCAGAGCTGAGAATCCTTCATAGATCCACCTGTTAGAGGGGGTGTGGGGAGAGAAGCTGAGCTGTAGACCCACCGATCCCGTGTTATACAGCAGCCCCGCCCCCACTCCTGGCGTCTGAGCTCCCATGTCTAAGTGAACGTGTCCATTCTGCTCTGTGCTTTTCTGTCTGGGCCAGGATAAAATATAAACTATAATTTCTGTACAGCAAACCACCCCACGAAACACAGGACTATGTGAGTAACATAAATTACAGCTGTGTTCGTATTAGTCAGCATCTGACTCAGAACCTGTGGCTCCAGGCTGGCTCCATTGTGGCTAGCTGTGCATCCCTGGACAGGGACCTTAACTTCGCTGGGACGCCCTTTCTCCATCTGGAAGCCTGGAACTTGAGAGGGTTAAACCGTGTAGGAAACCGAAAGTGTTTACTTATAGTAAGCGCTATCATTGCTGGTAGCTGTTATTATCTGCAGGGGAGGCAAAAGTCAGGCCTAGGCGTAAGTGGGGAGGCAAGGATGATAGCGGAGATGCTGTTCTGATTGTTTCTGGAATGTGGAGGCTCTGGTACAGCTACCCACAGGCAGCAGCCCACACACTCCAGGCGGAGGAAGGGTGACCTCAACATGACCAGTGGCCTTAGTGGGCTCGTCACCCTACCCTGCTGTCCTTCAATGGCTTTGTCCCACTGTCATGTCAGCTTTGGCCCACTGCCAGCTGCTCTGACGTTGGGCTTGTTTCTTCTCCGGCAGCCTCAGGCCCTGGGCAAAGGTGTGTGGTGTCAGGCAGGTAACATTCCAATTGTCCATCTGCTCTGGGCCCCTTGATCTGGCAGGTTGATCATTGATCATGGTGGACACGATTCACAATTATCATTTCCTTTTGGAATTTGTCCAGTCTTGACTTACTTATCTTGGAGAGGTTTGCTGAACGTTTGTTTTGTTTCCCAAAGGTAGGGAAGAACTGGTTTATGTAAAAATGATTTATGCTGGGGCAGAGGTGGGGGAGGGGGTGGGATCCGTTCATGGCAGGCTTGAAGGTCCCGTGTATCCCTTCTCCTATTGAGAGAATCCAGTTTCCTGCTGTCTGTGACCAGAACAAGCTCCAATTTGATTGGAAAGGACAGAGGGGGTGTTAGTGAAAGTGTTTCACGTTCCCCTCTACCTTGGCCTGTGTGGTTGTGCCCTGAGCCTCTCAGTTGCCACTTGGCTTCTAACTCGTCTGTGGGTGCTGCAAGCACAGCCAGGAAGCTGGGTATGACAGCCACCCCCTGGGGCCTGCAGATGATTTGGGAGGAGGGAGTGCTGATCTGTGCTTAGGCATGGAGTGGCCTCCAGCTTCCTTCCAGCTGACATTGATCCATCGTGGAAAAGTCACGTTAGTTAAATAAGTCATTCCCCCAGGGAATGAGAATCATTTTAAAAGTACACATTCCCGGTCATCAGATTCCTCCTTGCTGCCCCCAGAGGATCGTGACCCATTCGTCCATCTGTGTTCCACAGGATGGAAGGCCTGAGGAGGCCTCCTAGGACTTAGCTGCCTTGGCCCTGGGGACGCGGCACACCCCTTCAGTTTTTCCTCCTCTGTGGCCGTTCCTTTATCGTTAGGGTATGCGCTGCACTCATTCTGGAAGCTTCCTTAGCTTTCCGTGACGTTGCCTAACGAAGGTTTTACTACTTAATGACACGTTTGTGCCTCCTCTTTGGCTTCAGGAATAAAGAGAAGAGTGGCAGCCAGCCCGCCTGCCTGGATCACGTGCAGGACAGAAGGGCTTTAGTCCTCAAAGCCCACCAGTCGGAGAGTCACCTGCCAATAGGTAGGTGTGAGGGAGTCTCAGGGAAGGGGGCGGTAGTGTGGCCCTGGCCGCCACCAGGCTTTTCCTGCCTGAACAAGCCACTGGCTTTGAAGACTCCATGCCTGCAGCCTGGAGGGGAGGTTTGCAGAGCTGTCTGGTTGTGGCACACTGGACTAGCTCAAAGCTGTATCATTCAGGTATTTAAGTCCCATAACCAGTCCCAGTGGGCAGCTGTTTTGCAGTTGAGGAAACCGAGGAACTAGTGTATTAAGTAAGAGGGTCACCTAGCATTTGCACCCAGACTTTTTACACTTCAAACCCTTTGGATAAGTGGTGGGCACCACGAAAGAGCCCGCTCCTTAGTGCTCCCCACCCCCACCCCCCACTCTGCCTAGCAGTGGCTCAGTTGGTCCTGGGGCTGCTAATAGAGCAGTTGTCTACAGACACCTTGCTGCTTCTCGGCGCTAGTTTCAGGACCAAGGGTGTGGTGGGGTGTGGGAAAGTCATATAAGCAGTCAGTGTTAGTGGAGCGGCTTTTCATTTCTTTTATTTGTAACCTTCCATGGGGCCACAGTGATTTTTCCTAGTGCCCCTTTGTAAACTGTTTCTGTGTGTCTGTCTCCTGTCCTTACTGTCCTCGTTCTCGTGAATGCTGACTGAGATCCCCGACTTTGAGAGTGACTCAGAGCCCTGAATGCTCTGTGGCTGGAGACTTGTGTTTCACTGCCCAAGACACGTTTCCCGTTCTGACTGTCCCAACCTGCTATGACCATAAAATGGTGTTACAGCCCAGCCCCTGGGCTTTAGAATCTCTCCTAGAGAGAGGTGGAGCCTTCGGTGTTCTAGACCGCCACAGACCAGACCCGCGGTGAGAAAGTCAACCGTGGTTTCTTTTGTGGCAGAGGGGAACCCAAGGGCACGGAGTGAGAGATCTGTCACTCCCACTTTGTTCTCTGTTCTCTGGACAGCTGGGCTCTCTCTGACCTTCTTTTCTCCTCCACAGGCTGCAAGCTGCCCCCCCAGTCTCCAGGTATGGACACAAGCCCTTGCCCCAGCTCTCCTGTGTTCAGGACTGGCAGTGAGCCTACTCTGAGTCCGGCGCTGGTGCGGCGGTTCTCCTCAGACACTAGGGCAGGGGAGGCATTGCGAGGGTCAGACAGCCAGTTGTGCCCCAAGCCACCCCCAAAGCCCTGTAAGGTGCCCTTCCTCAAGGTTCCTCCATCTCCGTCTGCCTGGCTCAACGCGGAGGCCAACTACTGTGAACTCAACCCTGCTTTTGCTGTGGGCTGTCACAGGGGACCCAAGCTCCCCTCGCATGCCCCCAGCAGCCACGAGGAGCTGCTGGCAGCCAAACACAGTGGGGCATCAGGTCCCCGGAACTCTGGCATCAACTACTTGATCCTCGATGGGGATGACCAAGCAAGACCTTGGGATCCACTGGCAGCACAGGTAGATGAGGGTCAGGAGGACAAGTCCACCTTTGTGCCACCTCTCATGGAAACCGTGTCGTCATTCAGACCCAATGACTTTGAGTCCAAGCTCCTTCCTCCAGAGAACAAGCCCCTGGAAACTGCCATGCTGAAGCATGTGAAAGAATTGTTCACCAACAATGACGCCAGGGTCATTGCGCAGCACATGCTGAGTGCGGACTGCAAGGTTAGTGTTCTGTGGCTGGTCCCTTTCACAGCTGAAGGCTGGGAAGGGCATGTGTCTGGCTCTACTTTACCTTGCTGGGTAGATACTTTGTTGTAGGGGAAAGCCAGGTGATAATGCAGGTGTGGAGATTTACTTACAGGGTGGGAACCACCATCAGGACAACCTTTGCCCAGCAGGAAACTGGTAAACTTCACCTTGGACTGAGGGAGGGCAGGCCTGCCCCTGCACCCAGCCTGTTGGTGACAAGAGCTTCCGTGACCCCTCCTCCTCCTACCTGGTGCTTAGTTAAAAATTCCCTTCAGGCCTGTTAGAACAGGAACAGCCAGGGGCGAAGGAGTATAGCTAAAAGCCTGGGAGTTGCAGGGCCCTGGCTATGTTATGCACCGTGCTAACCTCTGTGCCATATTTATTTTATTACTGACATGGTCTCTAGGATAATCATCTTCAGCTGTATCTTTGTTTTGTTTGTTTGTTTTTTACGAGACAGGGTTTCTCTGTATTGTTTTGGAGGCTGTTGGTCCAGCCTGGCCTCGAACTCACAGAGATCCACCTGCCTCTGCCTCTGCCTCCCGAGTGCTGGGATTAAAGGCGTGTGCCACCACCCCCCCGGCTGTGGTTTTTTTTTTTTAACTGTTCAAGTTAGGAAATTTTTAAGATGAAGATTAGAAGAGAATATAAAATCCTACAAAATCCAGCTTCCTGGGCCTGAGAGATGGCTCTGCAGGTATATGTGCTGACTGCCAAGATGCAGCCTGAATACCCAGAATCCGCATGGTTGAAAGAGAGGACCAACTTCTGCAAGCTGACCTCTGATGTAAACACATCATGGCATGTACATGCACTCGAGCACGCGCGCGCACACACCCACAGAGAATAAATATGGCATATGTACATGCACACACACAAGAGAGAGAGAGACAGAGACAGAGAGACAGAGAGAATAAATGTAATAAAATCTCAAAACTTAGGCTGGAGATGGATCAGTGGTTAAGAGCACTGGCTGCTCTTCCAGAAGACCCTGATCTGATTCCCAGCATCTGCATGGCAGCTCATAACCATATGTAACTCTAGGTCCAGGGGGTCTGACTCCCTCTTCTGGTGTCTGTGGGCACCTGCTACACATGTATTATACAGACATATATGCAGGCAAAAACCCATACACATAAAATAAAATGTTAAAAGCTAATTGAAAAAGCCCAGTTTCCTAATGACAACGCTTGATATGTGGAATGCCAGGCCTGTTAGATTTCTAAATAACATTTGTTTGTCAAACGCAGATACAGTTTCAAGCCGTGGCTCTCGTCCACATTGATACATTTTCATCATCTCCATTGTTTAGGGGGATTTGCTTCAGGAGCAGTGACCTGTGCTCATAAGCTCTCAGTATCTCTTAGACAATGGACATCTTGGGCTTAACCACCTTCTAAGCATACAGTAGTTGATACTTGGGCGTTTGAGTGACAGATCAGACCCATTTCATTCAGCTGGGAGAAGGCCATGAATTTCAAAGGTTAGGATTTGTTCAAGAGCTGAACTTTCCTTCCTGTGTCAGGAATCGTGGCTGGAAATCTAATCTCCTAGCGATCCCCAGGGAGTTCTGGAGCTGATAAAGGAGTCCTAAAATAACCTAGAGGACCACTAAACAACTGCTGGCTATCCTGGGTAGGAAAAGCCCTCTTCCTGAATCCAGGCCTGCAAGGGGAACTGGCTGACTGGTCTAAGTCAGTGCCCATGGTTGAGGGGGTCGTCCGTACTGGTAGGAGGAGGGCGTGTCCCTGCTGAACAGGCCCTAAGGGAAGAGCCAGGGCACAGAACTGCTGTGAGAAAAAGGACTTGTTGACCCGTGGTCTGGGCATCCTTGGGCAGAACACACAGGTGGGCAGATCATCTGCCGCTATAGATCCTTGTCCTAGTGTCCCGTGGCAAGAGGTTGAATTTCTGTCCCAGCAAGTCAGTCATGCTGGGCCCTGGGTCTGAGTGTTCAGCACCGTGCCAGTAAGCCAGGAGTGGGTGAGATTCACACCTAGTGCGAGCCCGCCTACTCACCCTCAGTGCCCCCCCCCAGGAAGTCCTTTGTGCACACAGAGGTCTCTATTCACAGAACAGCTCCTTTCCTGGGGGTGGGCAGGGAGCCCTTGGGTGTCTATGAAGAGGAAAAGGGGAGATGCCTGCCCACTTCACAGGTCTGGAACCTTCTCACAGCTTTTGACAGCCTTGAAAGGAGAGCCCAAGTCTGATGTCACCAGACAAGTATGCAGTCCTCCCTGTTGCCTGCCTGTCACACTTTGTCCTCCTGATGAGTTTCCTCCCATGTCTGTCTTCAGGATCCACTGGAGGACAGGCTTCCTGGGAGTCCCAGGAAGCAAGGAGAAACCAGCCTAGACTGCTCACCCTAGCCCCATGGGCAAGGCTGCATTCAGCCCTCCGCGTATTTCCCACCACTGTCTGTCCCTTGCTCTTCTCCCGGAACTACCCAGGCACAGCCAGTGTTTCCAACAGGAAAATTGCTTCCCACCCCAAATGTAGCAGCACCGAGATGGGGCCACCCAGGAGCCAAAAGCAGGGGTGGAGCGGCATCTGGGTCCCATGTGCCCTTCCCCACCCCGGCACGTAGTTCAGGCATAGTTGCTTATTAAGGGCATCAGGGCGGTTCTGAGCACACTGGAAGCTGGGACCCATCCGTGTCCAGCACCCCAGCTCACGGCCCTCCCATCTGCAGACAGACACTGCTGGCTCCTCGCTCACCCTGGTGGAGCACTGCTACTCCTCCACCCACCATCTTTGAATGTGGAAGTGAAATCCAGTAGTTAAAAACTTGGCCTTTAGGAATGAGTCCAAACACCACCACTGTCCATTAGCTGCGCGGCCCTCGTTCTCTCTCCAGTTGTGGAATGGCGTACCACCACCCAGGGGGGGCAGTGAAGGCTGAGCTAATAATACTTGAAGCCCAGCCAGAGCAAGCACTAAGGGTTGGTCAGGGTTACATATTCAGCCTTGACCGAGCAACCGCTGTCACCTCTGTCCTGGTGGGAAAGTGATACAATCACTTGGTGTACGGCAGGCCTGGGGGGGTGCCCTGTGCAGGAGTGGCGGACTTCCTAGGGAAGAGCTTGAAGCTAGAGATCCGGCCAGCTGAGATGAGCGTGGAAGGCCGACTAGCTGGTGAAGCAGGGACGTGTTTCGCAGGTGGCTAGGAGGCACCGTGCCAGGATCGCTGTTGAAAGCCATGGGGAGAGAGGTTGGTCTAAATAGGATTCATTTCCGGCCCAAAGAAGAGGGTGGGCAGGGAGGGTTGGGAAGGACCTGATTGCCTCTCCCAGCGTTTGTTAAGTTTCTTCTTCTGGGCTCACACAGGATCTTGCTGTTACAGCGCTTTGCCATCATGTTAGGGAAACAAGCCCATGGGTGTGCGGGCGCAGGTCTGAGGCCTCTGGGCGATGGAGAGCAGAGCCAGCGCAGCCGGGGATTGGGCCTGGCCGTCTGACTGCGCTCTGGTAGCTGAGTAAAGGGCCAGGCTGGGGACCCATCAGGGATCCTGCACACCGCAGTGGCCTTGAAGCGGTGGAGCACAGAGGAATGGCTCCAGGGGCGTCACAAAGTGGTGGCAGGTAGGCTTGGAGGGCAGGAGGAGGGCCAAGGGAGGGTCAGCCCACAATAGACACTGCTTCCTCCCGCCTCTATAACCCCGAGGACTTAGCCTGGGCCTGCAGTGTGGGCTCCACATCCCCTAGTCCTCTAGCTTGGCCCCAGAAAGTATGTGTACCCTAGGAACGGGACCTCATGATGGCCGACTTACACTCAAGTCCGAATGGAGGCTTCTTGCCCTCAGAACAGAGCCCCCAGGATGCCTACCAGTTTCCAGAAGAAAACTGTCAGTGGTGGGCCCTTCAGTCTTGTTACACAGAAGGTGTGGGTTACCGTGCACCCCAGAGAGGTACAGGGCTGAGAATCACTGACAGGATGATGATCTAAACTCGTGAAAGGTTGTCATATGGAATGCACGCACACATATGTGCATGCATGTGTGTGACACATTATGAAGATCTTTGCACTGCTTGCGTGCCTGGAGTGACTATGATGGAGAACAGACCACCAGATGAAGCCCAGGAGCCATCCTGTGCCAGCAGCATGCCCAGACTTGGGAAGACTCTGAATCCCAGGGTCACATTGCAGTGAGCTCTCATGGTCCCAGTGCAGAGGCATGCTGAGTCCACTCATGCTTCACCACTAACTGGAAATGGTCAGGTCTGACCTCCAATTCCATTAAACTAGACACGTTAGAAACGAGATGGTAAAGAGAACACACTATAAGAAACTCAGAGAACAAATTTAATCAATGAAGAGAATTGGGTTGGGATGAGAGCTGGCTTGGACAAAGGAAGGTTTTCTCTCAGGAAACCTCTCTGGAAGAGACGTGGGTGTGTTGGTTTTAAATCACCACATATGTTTGGAATGGTTTCCAGCCATAAGGTGCACTTACTGCACCCGGGGGAGGCGTAATTAAGGGCGATAGCAGCCAGCCGTGGCTGTTAAGTTAGACCGTGAATGGGAGAGCCGGGAGCAGAGGGAGCTTGGACGGCACTCTGCTTTTCCACTGAGGAGGCTGATAGGCTCCACACACGTAGCCTTGCTGTTGGCAGCAAGTGTCCCTCCAGGATCCAGCCTGTGTTAGGGCAAAGCTCGAACAAATGATTAATTCCCTGGCTGGGCATGAATGCATGTCAGATCTGCAGGCTGTAGAGACCATTAGGACTTTCCTCAGTCTACTGCCTACTAAGGGAGGGAGCAGTGTGTGTGTGTGTGTGTGTGTGTGTGTGTGTGTGTGTGTGTTCATGTGTGAGATAGTACACATATGAGGGTACGTATGCACACATCAGCGTGTGGAGGTCAGAGGACACCTCTGGTGTCCTGAGGAGCTATCCACCCTGTTGTTTCACAGACAGTCCTTTGCATGGACCTGGGGCTTGCAAATTAAGTTAGGCTGACTAGCTGATGAGCCCCAGGGATCCAGCTGCCTCTTCCTCCTCAGCGTTGAAGCTACGTTCACACCCACCATGCTTGGCTTTTTACATGGGCACTAGGACTCAAACTCAGGTTCTCAGGCTTATAGAGCAAGCACTTTATGGACCAAGCTATTTTCCAAGTCTCTCACCCAGTTTTATTATGTATGTTAAGATTATGCTGTCACTCAAAGAAATACAAGCACATTCTCTCCTCAGCCACAGGATTTCCATGGACTGTATTTCTTTCCTCATGCTAAATTAACACTGGGAGCAGCCCACTTCCTGATCCCGCGAATTTCTGCTTGGCTCCTGACAGGTTGCTAGGATACTAGAAGTCTCTGAAGACATGAAGAGGAGCATGGGTGTCAGCTCAGGACTGGAACTCATTACCTTACCTCACGGACGCCAGCTGCGCCTAGACATTATAGAAAGGTGAGCATGCTGTCTTTGCATTTCCCACACTTGGAGCTCCTTGCGGGAGGCAGCAGGAGGCAGATGAAGAGAGAGAGCAGCAGCAGCAGCCTGTCCTGGAGTCAGTTACTCCACGATCGGCATGACTCTTCTCAAGCCTGAGCTGTAGAATACCTGGGCGTGAGCAGACAGTGCAGGGACATGGCGCCTCCCTGGCCCAGTCCTGAATGGTGGCTGGAGAGCGGCTTTGCAGCGGTGGCGTGGCCGCAGCCGCACGCTACACTTTGTTGCTGTGCTCCACCTCCAGGAGCATCTCACTTTGTGTCTGCCTCCTGATGAACTAGGGGAGACGCCCTGGGGACGGATCCTGCCCTTTCTTTTAAGGGGTGGACAGGAGGACTGGGGATCCCAGGGCTCCGAAACCACACTGCGATTTTTCAAAAACTCTATAACCCCCAGGTACTTAGTTTCCTTTCTTGTTGCTGTACTAAATTACCCTGGCAAAAGCGTCCTAGGGAAGGGTTTATGTAAGTTCTCAGTCCCTCATGGTGGGGAAGCTGAGAGAGCAGGAGCTTGAAAGATCTGGTCACCCTGTCTCCACAGTCACAGTGAACGCAAGCTGCTGCGCAGTGCCCTGAACAGTGCCCCTCTCCAGTTATACAGTGCAGGGTCCCAGCTGGGAACACTGCCACCCACGGTGGCGTGCCTTCAGACCTCAGCTAATAAAATCCCCTGCGGCCCATCCACCAGCTGATTTTAGAGTCTCTCAAGTTGACGGTACTGACCACCACACCAGGTAGCCACTAAAACACACACCTGCCTATCATCTCAGTCCTTGGGAGGCCGAGGCAGGAGGATGAAGGCCAGCCAGCCCAGGTTTCATAATAAAACCTTCTCTCAAACAACAAACAAAAAATGAGATAAAACAAAAATATGCCCTTGAACATGGAATGCTTAGAGATGAGACGTGTTTCAAGACAAACACATAACTAGATTTCATATTGTCACAGAAGCTGGCCTTTTACACACACACACACACACACACGCTCACTAGTGTGCAAACTATTTCCCAGTTGCCATGACTGTTACAGTTTCCATGATATTCTTGGGTACAGCCCTGACCAGTTGAGTTTTCTGTGGTGCAGGGAATGTGCACAAACACTGTTTTGGCCACTGTGCATGGGTGGCAGATGCAACTGAGATGAAGATTTTTAAGTGTTTAGTATTGGAGTGTAAGTACCCACATGTGCTAGCAGCTGTCGGCCTCTGGGAAGCAAAGGCTGCATTTCACATAACTTTACAAAGATGAGCGTGGGATTGCATGCCTATAGTTCCAGCACCGGGGAAGCAGAGGCAGGAGGATCACAATCTCGAGGCCAGTCTGTTGTCTACACTGAGTCCAGGCCGGATGGCTGTGAGGGAGTGAGCCCCCCCCCCACAGGCTCACAGCAGGGGTAGGGGTGGAGGTAAGGGGGGCGGGGCAGGAGCAGGATAGATGTTTAGCCCACAGCCAACTTTGTTCAGGCAGGCTCTTGGTGTAAGGCTTTGGGGAATTACATGTCCCGTTTCTGAGCTGCCTGCTTTTTCAAGACTTATGGATTCCAATCTCCTCTCGTTCCTCATGCAGAGCGGCACATCTTACTTCCCCTGTGGTGGTGCTTGGGCGGGGCGGCCACTCTCACTTCCTCATTCCTAGCGGATACACTGAAATCTCCAGAGACTTTTTTCTGGCTCTGAGAGGTGTGCTGGGGCCTGAGCTCCCAGCCTGAGCCATGACCAGCAGCTGTGGAGCCTCTCACTCATTCGACTGTTTTCTGACCTCAGCTCTTGTCAGCATCCCTTTCTTTTTGCTACATGTCTAGGATCTTACACCCTAATTTGTTTCCTATTCATCTGTGACTATGGGAGCTACCCACAAAGCCAGGGGGATAGTTTGATTAGTTACCATGTGTTAACTAAATACAGGCCAAGGTCAAAGGAATCCTGGACTGCCCAATGACTTTATTCTCTTGTTCTTGAATCAAGTGCAAAACTACCCTTGACATCTGATTTACCACCTCACTCCTGGAGCACCCTTCTCCTAACACATGAGTACCTCTAGCTTGCTGGCCATTGACATGTAAACCGAGGACTGAGTCTGTCTGTCTGTCTGTCTGTCTGTCTGTCTCTCACACACACACAATGTGTAGAGGCACTTGGAGACAGTAGGGCCCATTACTTAGTAACAGGTGTTAGGGGAGTTGGGAAGGCTGAGCATGAACCGAGTCATTGACACTCTCTGCTCAAGAAGGGTGAGAGACCAGTGACCGAGGCACAAAGGGAACTCTGCAAGGAGCAATAGCCCCAGCTCTGAGCTTTCAGAACATCGTGACCCTGGAGTTCCAAAGGCACTGGTGTCTTAGGAACCATGGCTGCAAATTTACCTCCAGCAATTGCATAGTAGCCTAGAAAATTAAGACAATTTTGACCCAGTGTGGTAAATTCCTGGGTTTAGATTTACAGAGGGAAAGAAAGAGGTTACTGTCTGGGCTTCCTGCCTGACTGACCTGTTCATAGGGTCCCCTTGTCATGTACAGGAAAGTCGCCCTGTTTCCTGCCCGAGGTCTCTGAGTTTGATCCACGGAGTGTAGGGTGAGGAAGGGGAAGATGGAGTAGGGGGAGCGGATGCCCGGTTTTGTTAGGGTCTGACCTACGGCAAATTCCTGCCTGTCCTTCAGTCTTCATCCACCTCTCAGATCACTCTGTGGCATCTGTATTGGGGCTGCAGAACACCACTCTTGTCTTTTCCATTCCTAAGTGGTGCCCAGTCTTCCTCAGGGGTAGCATTCCCTTTTTGTTGGGGGACCTTAGGCCACTCATGGTAGGAGAGAGAGCATGTAGCTACATTTACTTCTGAGGACCACTTAATGCTCCTGTGTGCATGGTTGAATCTGGTCATGTCCAAGGGCATCTTACTTCCTGAATCTATAATGTATCCTCTGCCTGGTATGGGACGGGCTTTACTGAGATTAGCTTTCCAAACCGGCTCCCAGGCGGTGGCACACAGATAACCCTGCTTCCGGATGCTCAGGGCCACTGTCTCCTCATCTTGTTGACCTCAGCCCGACCCTTGGTCTTCTCCCACTTAGACACAACACCATGGCCATTGGCATCGCTGTGGACATTCTGGGCTGCACGGGCACTTTGGAGAACCGAGCAGGGACCCTCAATAAGATCATCCAGGTGGCAGTGGAACTGAAAGACGCCATGGGAGACCTCTACTCTTTCTCGGCCATCATGAAAGCCCTAGAGATGCCTCAGGTGAGATGCTGGCTTTGTGCCGCCTCCCACAAGGGTGCATTCAATGCTACACAGAGTTCTGCTCATCTGCACCATGCATGGCTGACTGCTTCAGCCAATCTCTAAAGACTAACTGAATTTTAGTGAAAGCTGCCTTGGGTAGAGGCAGCCAGGAGTGATGCTCCCCACTATTTTGGCTCTGTTTATAAAAACACTGGTGACTGCTGACAGTCTACATCTCATCTTTGATAAGTAATAACAAGAATTAGCCCCAGTAATAATAAGCAATATTCCTGAAGAACTAGTTAGGACAAGACACCATGCTCGAGTGTGTGGCATGACAGTGGCTGCATCCATTTGGGCCATCAGAAATGTGGCCAGCTTGGGTAATGTCTTGGGGGAAACCAAGGCATTTAAGGAACTTTTATCAGAGAATCCCTATACCAGCAGTTCTCAACCTGTGGGTCATGACCCCTTTCACAGGGGTCACATATCAGATATCCTGTATACCAGATATTTACATCACAGTAGCAAAATTTAGCTATGAAGTAGCAATGAAAATAATTTTATGGTTGGGGGTCACCACAACATGAGGAACTGTAGTAAGGTTTGAAGCATTAGGAAGGCTGAGAACCACGGTCCTAGACTGATTGTCTCAAGGTATCTTCCCCTAGTTACTTAAGACAGATGTCCAGCTCTCACTTGTCACACGCGTCCCTGCAGAATGTCTCAGGTGCAGCCTCTGACGTTGTCTGCATTGACAGATGCTGGCTTTTTCAGTAGAGAATCACATACAGTGGGCGTCCTACAGGGAAGTGAGATCGGCTGTCTTCCCTTGTGTGAGTGCTGGGAGAGTTTTGAGGAGTAGCGTCCTGCAAACTGGCTCAGACCAGCAGCATCAACACAGCTGGCTCTTTATCTGGGCTGTTTCCTAGACACAGATGATCTCTGAAATCCTGGCAGATGCTCATATACATCCATCCCTGCCACCGAGGGACACGGCTGCAGTCATGTGTCCTGGAAATCAGCATGCCTGGCACACAATTTCCTTCATTAAAAAGAGTGACTGCCTTAACAGAAAGATGCTGAACAAATTAAGTGCCCTTACCAGAAGTTTCTTGGAGTCACGTGGTAGGAGAGCACCCACTCTCACACACAAAATAACTACAGTTATTTTGGGCCTTTGTTTTTTCAAAGTATGTACAGACACACATACACACAAGCATTTAAGAGCTGTGGCATGGGTTGTCGGAACCATGCAGGACAGGGTGGAGGGGCTACGTTTTTCTTTCAACTCACCAATGCTTCGGGCGTTGCCATGCAAATCTATCACCTATTCCAAAATTTAAGCAGAAAGGTAATTTTTTTTTACAAGAGGCTTTCTGAAACAGTAGGCTTTGCTTCTTCCAGATCACAAGGTTAGAAAAAACATGGACTGCCCTGCGGCACCACTACACGCAAACAGCCATCCTCTATGAAAAGCAGCTGAAGCCCTTCAGCAAAGTCCTGCACGAAGGCAGAGGTAAGCAAGTACAGGAGGGCAGTGCGCGCTGCAGCCGCTCCCTGTTCTACTGTCAGGGCTTTAAGCGGGGCACGCGGTCAGACCCTGTCATCGGCAAGGCTGCTGCTGGCTCTGGCTCCTCCGGCTTTATAATCACACAGTGGCATTGCATGTGGATCTGCCGCTGCTACGCGGAACAGACTACTGGTCGGCCTGCGATTAGCTGTCAACAAAGCATGATGTGGAACTTTCCTCTCTGTCCCTCAGAGTCCACACATGTCTTGCCAGGCAGCGTATCAGTCCCACTGCTGATGCCTCTTGTGACCTTAATGGAACGGCAGGCTGTCGCTTTTGAAGGAACTGACATGTGGGAGAAAAATGACGAGAGCTGTGAAATTATGCTGAACCATTTGGCAACAGCCAGATTCATGGCTGAGGCTTCGGAGAGCTACAGGATGAACGCTGAGAGGATCCTGGCAGGTAGGAACTTGTTTCTGGAATCCTCTCTCTGTGGAGATTAGAATGAAGGAATAAAAAAGAAAGGGCATGGATGCCCTCAGTTAGAAAAGTGACCAAGGAGATGAAATTAAGGTGTGGACACTCCATTTCCTATGCCACTGGTCCTTGCTTCCTATTTCAATAATGCCTAAGAGCACACAAGTATAAAGAAGTGGGTTTCATTGCATGTGCACACATACACACATACATACACACACTAACCCTACACCTGTGTGGAGGCCAGAGGTCAACCTCAGATGTCTTTCTTCAGGCACCATACACCACTCTTTTTGAGTCATTGTTTCTTACTGGCATGGAACTTAACTATGGAGGCTAGGTTGACTGGCCAACAGGTCCCAGGGATCCTTCTATCTCTGTCTCCCCAGCATGGGGATTAGAGGTGCTATGCCTGGCTTTAAAAAATATTTTTAATTATATGCATCTGTATGTAGGTATGCATACAGCATGAGTGCAGGTGCACAGGGAGGCCAGAGGCATCATCCTGCTGAGCTAGTTACAGGCAGTTGTAGGACGCCTGACATAGGTGCTAGGAGCCAAACTCAGGTCCTCTACAACAGCGGTGCACATTCCGGACCACCGAGCCATCACTCAGGTGACCATGCCCAGATTTTTAAAAAAAAATTTTGAGAACTGTATTTATGTAATTTCTACCATACACTGTTTGTTACTTACCTTCACCTCCTGCCTCCCTAATTAGACCACTTTATTGTTACACACACACACACACACACACACACACGTCCACTAGCACATGTGTTTAGGGATGACCAACTGGGATTGGATAACATATCAGGGAGCTTGTCCCTTGAGACTGATTCTTCTCTCAGCAGCCATCTAGGGGTGGGGCCTTGTAAAATTTGCCCCATCCACTTCTGGATGTCACCTCATGTTGCCATTGTACAGGTCTAGTTTCGATGACCTATTTTTGAGATTTCATGGGCACAACTCCTATCATATATAGAAGACAGTGCCTCAGCATGTGTGTTGGCTGGTACACTCTCCCCATACACTCCTCCTCGACGGTCCCCGAGTCTTAGGTGTAGAGACTGGGAAGTGGGGGATGGGCAGATCCAGTAAATTATCCTCGCACTTTGACCACTTGGAGAGTTCTGTGGAAGGTCGCCATCTGCTGCAGAGAGCAGCTGCTTTGATGAGGGACGAGAGCTACAGCTATTGGTGGGTGTAAGGCAGGCGTTTGGAATACAGCTGGGAATTTCACTGGCTTAGGAAAGCGGTAGTAAGTTCTCCCCTGACCTCATTAGCCACAGGTAGTTGGCTAGGTTTACAGTACCACTCCTCCTGAGTGGGCCTTAAATCCAATTAGATGCTGTCAGTTACCCCCAGGACTAAGAGCCACTTCTGAACCCTTGCAGATAGCTTGCTGTAACAGCCATAGTTGTGGTTCACAGACTTTAACTGCTCCTCTCCCTAGGCAGCTTGCCTAGCACCTTCAGATGCTTGGAGAGCCAGTCCTCAGGGAGGAGGCTCCAGGTCTGTCCTGGCTCCATCCCTCAAGGTCCTGTGTCTAAAGTATGAGGCATCTTCAGCAATAGGGTCTCACCTTCAAGTTCTGGGAGTCTTTTGACCAAAGACTCAAAGAGGGGTTTCCTATGCCTGGCACTGGGGTTTCTGTTAGACTGACTATGGCTCTTGGGGGGAGCATTATCACCCTCAGTTACCTAACTTCATTTAAATTAGACACATATACAAACCTAAGTAAACATAAACTATGTCTCAACTGGGAACAGGGTGGGAGAAGGGACCAAGCTCCCCTTACCCCTCACAGCACCTCTAGAGCTCCCTACACAACCCGCCGTGGTCTCTTTTCATGAGGCATTTGTCTTTTTAGGTCTTGGTTACTCCTCTCAGAATAGTATTTCCTAGTTCTGTCCATTGTGAATAGAGCACACTGAACACGGCTGAACAAGTATCCGTGTGATAGGAAGTCAAGCACTTGGGCATAGGACAAGGAATGGTATAGCTGTATCATATGGTTGACTTACTTTTAGCTTTTTGAGAATTCCTCACACTAATTTTCATAGTGGCTGCATCATTTTATAATTCCGGCAACATTGAATAAGAGTTTCCCAATCCTTGCAAGCTTTTTTTCCCCATTCTGATTAGGGTAATGGGGTAAGATGAAATCTCCAAAGTAGTTTTAATTTGCATTTTCCTAATTGCTAAGGATAGATAGTAAACACTTTTTAAAGGCATGTCTTAGCCATTTTTGTTTCTTCTTTTGTGAACTCCACACCACATTTTTTAAAACTGGGTCATTTGTCTTCCTGTTTTTTGAGTTCTTTGTATATTCTTGGTATTAATCCTCTGTCAGAAGCTTTTTCACGTTATGATGCCCCATTTGTCAACTGCCGATGTCCAGCTTTTTAAAGTGCATCGTGGAGATCGAATTCAGGCTCTTGTACTTACACAACAAGCACTTTACTGATTGAGCTATTTTCCATATATGTGTCATTATCATTATTCTAACTCATCCCCAAACTATGTCCTGCATTTCTTTTCTTCTCTTGTTCTATCAAGGATAGAATACATGAAAGGCAGAGTCAAGAAGAATGCCCACCATAGCACCCGGGAAGGCAGCAGTCACCACAAGGTGTTTCATCTAGATTTCATTGTCTGTGCTCCTCTTCCTTCCTAGTTATCCCTGTTCCAACTGTCCCACACATCCTGGGAAGTGCAGTGTAAACTGACCATCCTTAATCTCTGTAGAAGGAAGCAGCTTCCTCAGACAGACCGATGAACATTCATCACAGGTGTGGTGCTGTGCTGCACCGAGCTAAGTGGTTGACCTCAAGGTGCTTAGAGGCATCTCACCAGGTAGCTCAGCACACAGTGGCCAGTGCAGAGCGCGCCATGGAACACTCAGGAAAAGTGCTTTGCTCAGAGGGGCAGCACATGGGCTAACTTCCAGAAGAAATTCCAGTTACAGTTGTACTGTTTGTGAGGCAGGGTCTCACAGATCCCAGACTGACCTCAAATTTACTATCCAGCCAAGGGTGACATAGAACTTCATCCTTCTGCTGCCACCTCCCAAGAGCCGGGGTTACAGGTTTACATACATACGCCACATGTTTGATTTATGAGTGCTGGAGCCTGAACCCAGGGCTTCATGCATCCTAGGCAAACATTCTACCAAGTAATCGATTTCCTCAGCCCCCCTTACTGATTATTAAAACACAAAAGTCGTCTGCCAGAAGGCAGAGATGGGTTGATTAGGAATTCTACCCAGAGAGTAGAACCCGGATTCTGAGAGAGCTTTGGAAGAGTGGGGAGTTCTAAGTCTGCGCTGGTGTAAAGTGTGACCTGAAGAATATCCTCCTACACTGAAGATGGAGGGGCTGCAGCTCGGGAGGGAGGGCTTAAACTGAGTCACCTTTTGACATGGGGAGGATGGCTGCAGAGCTGGAGGAAGACAGTCTCTTTGGAAATCAAGTGCTAGACCAAGAACTTTAGCCAAGGCTTCTAATTTTTCAGATCCTTCAAGATACTGTGTGGGACAAAAAAGGACCCATTAATCTCATTTTAAAAGAATATTGTTACCTCGGAGCTACAGTGTAGAACTAGACTCTGCATTGTGGTGCTGTATACTTGTTCCTTAGGGACTAGGGAGATGCACTTAGTCAACAGAGGACCTCACATCAATCTCCAGAATCCACATGAAAAAGCCAGGCATGGTAGTTTGCGTATGTGGACACAGGAGGATCCCTAGGGCCCACTGGCAGCAAGCATAGCCTATTTGATGAGTTCAAGGCCAATGATACTGTCTCAAAAGACCCAAGGTAGATGGCTCCTTACTTTCACATACATGTGCACTCACGCAAGGTCCTCAGGTTTGGCATGTGACTCATAAAGTATACAATTCAGTAGATATTAAAGTACCTAGTATATGTGACATTGGATGTTGCATATTAAAGAAGCTAACCTATATAGCAAATCACTTGGCTCTTACACTTTTCACCTTTGAAGGATAAAAAGGTGCTGTAAGAAAACATAAAAGAAAATTATAAACCCTAACCAAAACACTGATGAATCATGATTTTTAATTTTTACTTCTCAAAACATTAAGTAATAAAAGCAAGATACTACTAGGGGAAATAGTTAAATGTGTATCTTAGGAGAAAAGCTTACAGCTTAAAGACCCCCTGAAGCACAATGAGTAGCAGACGGTGGCGGAGCACACCTTTAATTCCAACTCAGGAGGCAGAGACAGGTGGGTCTATTTGAGTGTGAGGCCAGCCTGGACTACACAGAAAAACTCTGCTTAAAAAACCCAAATGAGTAGTTTAAATAGGCAACATGTCGGAGAAGATGCAGAACTGTTACGAAAAAACTGTTTAGAAGTGGAAATTTCATCTGCAGTGAGATACCCAGAGTGGTTTTAATGAAGAATATTGATAAAAACCAGGCATGAAGACACTGAAATCTTCATATATTATGAGTGAATACAAAACTGAAGAGGTTATGACTAGTTCTTTCGAAATAAACACAGGTTTACCGCATGACCTTAGGGAAATGAACATCCATACTTGGGCTTGTACATGTTGACATTGTTCACAGTACATGTTAGTGAATGGGTTAACAAAATCTGATATGCCCATATATTATAAATGCCTACTAATCAGTAATCAAATGGATGTGTTACTGCTAACATGCCACACACAGAACAATCTGAAAACCATCATAGGAAGCAAAAGAGCCCTGACAGTGCGCAACGTATCACATGGTTCCAGCTCTCTCACACTTCTAAAGCAGCCAGGCTCATCAGTGCTTCCCTAGGACACGGGCAGAACAGACTGGCTGCCTGGAGTACTAGGGAACTTTCTAAGCTGAACAAAGAATCTATAAATTTACTAGCATCGATCAAATTTTACAGCTAAAATAGTTGAATCATATGGCAAGTAAAGTTGTTAGGAACAAATCCAGACAAGATGCCAGCCAACACTCACTGGAGACACAGGCTTGTGAATTCTTTAAAGCTGGCCAAATGAGGAGGTCCTACGTTTTTCTATGGAAGCAGGTTTTAGAATTCTGAGAGAGGAGGAAGTTCATTTAATTCTACTGTAAAATAGGAAGGTTTCATTCATCTCTAACCCTTTGAGGCAGAAGTGAACTTACGTTTTTATTCTGATTAGATTTTCAACCGGATGAAGAAATGAGTGAAATCTTGAAGACTGAATTTCAGATGCGATTGCTGTGGGGCAGCAAGGGTGCCGAAGTCAACCAGGCAGAGAGATACGAGAAGTTCAACCAGATTTTAACTGCCCTCTCACGTAAACTGGAACCTCCCTCGGTAAAGCAGTCTGAGCTGTGAGAACTACCCAGAAGACCTGAGGCATTACCTGAAGCTTCTCCAGTCTGGTTGGGAATGCTTATGGTCTGATAACTAATGTGCAAACAAGATACAAGCGTTTAATATCCACAGGATATTAAATGTGTAAATTGCACAGAGCATACTTATTTATGAATTGTTTAAAATTACTACTGATTTTTAAATGAATGGTAATTTATTATTAAGATAACTATTGCTAATGTTGATCAGCAAATTTAAGAAGACCTATCTATGTTGCTGATTGTTTAATATCATGGTATTTGACCATCTTAGTTTTAATTCCATGTCATATAAATGTAAATAGAGGCATTTAAAAGAAAAGCATGAAACATTGCAGAAGGTATCAGTTATATGATATTCTTTGGATATGAAACTGTAAATAGCCATGAGTGGAAATATATCTTTTTTGTGAAATGGTTGTATCCTATCTCTTTAATATTGACTCACCTTAGCATGACAATTCTAACTCCTGGATTCTAAGGAACTTTCCTCCCTATCCCTATATTAAATCAAAATTAACTAAAGTGGTTTGCCGCAAAGACAGAATGAATAGTGAGCTAAAGGAAGACCTAGGTTCCAACTCAAAGTGCTTGCTAACAACTGGACGGAGCACCCAGATGTCAGCTGCCATGCTATTTCATCACACAACTGGTCTACCACATTGGCTCCCCTGGAAAGTCCTCCGAGACACACTTGGAGCAATGCTTGCCTACTCACTGTTCTTCTGGAATCCCTTAACTCCTTTGTTTGTTACTTTCTGTTGCACCCAAAATAACCCGAGGAAGAAAAGGTTTATTGTAGCTTATTGTTCTAGAGGGGCAGAGAACATCATGGTAGCAGGAAGCCCCAATCTTTTGTATCTATACACAAGGAAGAGTAAGAACAGGAAGTCGGGTGAGGCTATTTAAATGCAGCCCACCCCCAATGACATATTTCCTCCAGCAAGACTCCACCCCCTAAAGGCTCGATGACCTTCATGACCTTCCCAAATACACAAATGTTTAGGGGATATTTCCACCCCGCCATGCGAATGAACTCAATCTCCATGTGAAGGCAAATCCTAACACTTTTAGGATATACAGTATTTGCTATACTCTGAATCAACTATAATATATAGAAAAGGCAAATGAACTAATTGTTTTCTCTAGCTGATACACAAATCTTACAGGCTCATTTTCTAGGTTTCTGGCTTCCCCCAAAAGAATACTGTCTAGTATTTACATACTCTCCATTTTTTCATTGTAAAACATTTGGAATATAAGATTTTAAGGTATTCTCCCACAAACTACCAAATAATCAAACTATTTGTTTTCCTATCTTCTTTTTGAAACAGGGTCTCACTATGTAGTTCTGGCTGTCCTGGAATTCACCATGTATACCAGGTTGGCCTAGAATTTACAAGAGATATACCTGCCTCTGCCTCCAAGGGCTGGGATTAAAGGCATGTGCCACCATACCTGGCTTGTTTATCTTTTAAGTATTTAAATCACAAGGTTTATGGTCATAACCAAGTCATGAAGGTTTCTTCACAATATTAAATAGACTTGGAGGACTGACTGATTTAGTTATAGATACTACACTATACCATGGCCATCTTAAATACATTGCCCTAGTTTGCTTTTTGTTGCTGTGGTAAAACAAAGAGGTTGGAAATGGTTTGTTTATTTATTTATTTATTTATTTTGGTTTTTCGAGACAGGGTTTCTTTGTTTTGTAGAAATGGTTTATTATAACTTACAGGCTAGAGTCCGTCAGCAAGGGAAGTCAGGGCAGGAACTCAATGCAGGAACCTAGAGGTTAGAACTTGGTACAGAGGTCATGGAGGACTGCCTTGCTTCCTGCTTCTGCATTCTTACAAAACTCAGGACACCTGCCTGAGGAAGCACCATCTACAGTGGGGTGTGTCCTCCCGCATCAATTATTAATCAATAAAATGTCCCAGACATGCCCACAGGTCAATCTGACGAAGACAATGCCTCAACTGGGGTTCCCTCTTCCTGGGTAACTCTCTGTGTCAAGTTGACAAAGTAACCAGCACATCTGCCTACTAGCACCAAGTATGAGACGCTATGGTGGTCAGTGTAACACAATGGCACTATTCGTTTCAGATTCTATACTACATCCCATTACTACAACCTAGAATTATAAGAGTTTGCCACCTTTTAAAGGTGTTATCTATTGCATTAGTGTCTATGTGCGCACACTGTATACACTTGTTTGTGAGCAGGTGTGCTTGTTTGCATGAGAAGGGTGGGGGGCAATGCTGAGTGTTTTCCTCTGTTGCCTTTTTTTTTTTTTTTATGTTTTAAAGATAGTCGTTCACTGTACCTGAGGCTTATTTGGCTACAGTGGTTGGCCACCTGTCTCCAAGACTACAATGGGATGACAGTTTCCATGCTTGGCTTTCTACCCAGGTCCCTGTAACATGAAAAATAAAAGAACTCACAGACTGACACTGGGGTTCAGACTTCAAGCTGAATATCAGAAAAGAAAAGCAGCTGGCCACTAGTTTCTTACCTCTACCTCAGGCTGAATAGCTGATGCCATCTCTATGAGCTCTCACCAAGCCTCAGACTGTGAACTCTCCTCAGTGTGGCTGGAGAATGAATGCCTCCTACTGACTCCTTGCTCCTGTCTTTTATACCCCTCTAGTGCTGGGATTAAAGGTGTGAGCTATAATTCTCTTTTAGACTGATTCAATCTTGTGTAGATCTGGGTGGCCTTGGACTCACAGAGATCCATCCATCTCTTAATCCTGAGTCCTAGGATTAAAGGTATGTACCACCACCTCCTAGCTTCCGGCTGCTGGGATTCAAAGTGTGTGCCTGGCTTCTATGGCTTGTGGCTGATTTTGCTTTTTTGAATCCTCTGGCAAGATTTAATAAACCATAAACAATATATATCATCATAGTTTCCATGTTTATACACCAGGAATTTTTTAGACTGAGTCATTCAGCCAAACCCCATCATCCCCAGCATTTATTTTTTGTGAGAAACAGTCTCATGTAGCTTAGGCTGACCTCCAGCTTACTGTGTAGCCAAGGATAACCCAGAACTTTATTTCTCCTGTTTCCACCTCCCAAATACTGGGATTCCAGGCATGTACCAGGTCCAACCTGCATCTGTCAATTGTTGGGCAACATAGAAAGCTCTTTCACAAAAGAACACGAAAAGGATTGTTAATATTGAGCTCAATAGTATTGTAAAGAAACTCTCTTGCAACATCCCCCTCCTCAACCCCAAAAGGTACAACAAAGCTAGATTAAAGTAAACTTGAAGGTAGACGTGCAGGAAAGCACGCACTGAAGTCAGCCCGATGAATGGAAGAGTGTCCTACAGGAGCTGAATTTGAACTGCTTCCAGTAAACAGGGATCCTACTTATTAAAAAGGGGTGAGGGGAACATCTACCAGCAAAGGGGGGATACTAACTGATTGACAGATATATTCTGGCTCTCCAGACACAGAACCAAGATACTTATATAGAAATGGGGAGGTTAGTAAGGGAATTTACTTACATGATTATGAACACTAAGAAGTCCCATGCCAGGTCATCTGTACACTGGAGACTTTGGAATGCTGTAGCCATACTCGTCCAACTCCAAATGTGTCAGAATCAGGAAAAGCAGGTGTAACTTTCAGTCCAGAGTAAAGGTCCAGGGCCCTGGGAGTCTATGCTACCAGTAGTGGAGTCCAAAAGCCAAAAAGAGCCATTCAGCTCAAGGGCAGGAAAAGCGTCCCCTGCTCCTGTGTTTCTGCTCTGTCTAGGCTTGAGGCCCGGTTAGTACCCATCTACACTGACCCACCAACTCACATGCTAGTCTACTGGAAATAAGCCCAGACATACCTAGTAATGTGACTTTCCCTTCAGTGTTCTAGGTATCCTTAATCCAGGCAAATCAACACCTAACATCAATCACCACAACATAAAGCATGCCTGTCTCAACATGCAACTCCAAGAAGAAAACCTGTAGCCTTCAGTGAGGTTCTGCAGCCACTGTTCTCCCCATACAGGTCTTGCAGCAAAACTTTAAAATATCAAAACCAAGGTATTGATTTATTGTGATTGCAGGTTGGTGTAGCTTACTCGACAGATACACGTTAGTCTTGCTAGATATAAAAGCTCACTATGAAGCTATAGCCCAAAATAAACTATGTTAGGACTTAAATACATGAAGGCAATAGTACTACTCAGGGGTGGAGAAGGAGGATGACTTCTCTAACTTCTTAAACAACTAGCCCAGCGAACAAACCAAAATAGTGATTCTGTATAAAACTACAATGAAAGCCTAGACAAATTAACCAACCTGAAGGCGAAAATGACAGCACTTTCAGAATATAGAATATCCTTTTTACTTTAGATAATGAAGAATTCTAAGAGAGAGTGTGTGTGGGTGTGTGTGGGGGGGGGGTTGGTTTGTGCACTTGAATGTACGTATACCCACAGAGGGAGAAGAGTGCATCTGATCCCTGGATCTAAGGTTATAGTAGCTGTGAGCTGCCTGATGTGGGTGCTGAGAGATCAACTGAAGTCCTCTGCAAGAGCAGTTCATGATCCTAACTGCTAAGCTACCTCTCCAACCCAACTAAGAGTTTTCTTATAGTAGGCTTTAAAAAGTAGTAGTTACAAACAAGTTGTTGATAGGAATTAAAATGAACTTCAGACGAATAACTGGGGAAGAACCAGACATCACTAACACAGAACTGACAAAAGACTGGTTATGACAGGCACTCTCTGAGCAGGCCCCAGTGTCCCCTGCCCTCTGCTACTAACAACCACATACTGTTCCACTCGCACTATGCCAGGGGTTGGCCATTGTGATCGCAAGCATAGGACAAATGTCACACCTAAGATTAGGTACCAAAGGACTTCCACCTCCATCACGGTTCTTCATTCTCCTGGACCACTCACTGTAAGATGCTACACTGACAGTGTCCCTGGAGAGAAATCAATGTGGTAAACCTTTGGTCAGAGTCCAGCCAAGAACTGGACCCTATCAACAATCTAAGAACCTTTTAGCACCAGGCAAGCCTTCAATAAATGTAACCCATAAGAAAGTCTGAGCTAAACTAGGCATCTATGTTACACATCTAGCACTGTGTGTTTACAAGAACCAACAAATGATACTATTAGCATCCTCAACACAGTAAGAATTCCCATGAAAGACAACCAACCAAAGGAAAAGAAAGGTCACAGATAAAAATGGGCTTGTCACAGAAAGGGAAACATAGTAAACATGTAAAGATGCCCAACATGAGTAATCAGAGAAAGCCAAACTACAATGAACTGTGCCATCTTTTGAACCGACAGATTAGAATGCCTGAATCACAAGAGTGGGTCATGATGTAGAACACTAACCCTTACACAGAAATCACTAAAATGTAAAAAATACAGTAACTTTGGAGGTTAAATGTG